TAATCATACTTCCGGTTTGTTGTGAAAGTCAAAGTCAATGATGGGAGTGAAGCATGTGCGTATAATAGGTCCTCAGTTATAAGAAAGGCCAGTCAGTGGTGACCGAAGCATGAGCAAAGCTCTGTGGGCTCCCTCCTTCCTCTCACTTGATCTCACCTTATTGCCACTGCATCTCTTCCTCCTCCTTCCTTTTTCTCTCCTGGGAGTCTCTCCTCTCTTTCCTTTAACCAGGTGGGAAAGGACCGCTGCCTCTATCCTGTAGCCCTTGGCCATGCAATTGACAAACCTTTACTGAATAGCTGTTCTATCCCTGCTTTCAATTTTAAAAGCACGTGACTAGAATGTATTACCCTCAACTAAGTTTCCCGTGTGCACCTGCGGGCACGTGCTTGCGTGCTGGGCGTCTCCCCTCTCCCAGGGCTGCTGCCGGCGAGACATCACAGTTTCCTTTCCTGCAGGCCAAGCAGCCACTGGGCAGACCGAGTTGGAGACTCTTCTGACCCTTTTGGCTGCTGGTCCCCTCGTGGGTGGTGTCAGACTGAGAGTTTCCTTGAGTGAAGGAGTCAGATAGGCCTGGTACTGGCTCCTTTCTGAGGGCCCCCCACCAGCCCCTTCTTCCTGACCACAGGGGAGCTGGTCCTCAGGGCTGAAGGTTGGGGCCTGCTTCCAATGACTCTATGGAGTATAGACTGTTCCTTGGAGTGCTCCCACGTGGGCCTCACTCTGTGTCACTCCCGTAGCTGCTGTCCCCTCACTAGCCACCTGACCGCTCCCTCCTGGCCTCACTGAAACCACCCACACCCCGCGTGCCTAACTAAAGGCCTACTTCCATGCCTACTTCTTCCCTCTCCCCACCCGAGGCTCAGATTTCTGTGGAAGAGAAAAGTGGCACCACTGCCCGCCAGGAAACCACAAGGGGAGCCTTACCTGCAGCCCCCCGGCTCCCCGTAACTATCCAGAATGGGCAGAAGCTGATCCCTGTACAGGGATTCAAACTCAAAGGCTGGGCTGACAAAATTGTACTGTAGTAACTTTGTATAGTGACAGAGGGTAACTGCACCTATGGAGGTGAGCATTTCGTAAAGTATAAAAATACTGAATCGCGGTGTTGTACACCTGAGAATAATATAGTGTATGTCAATTATAATTCAGTTTAAAAATTGTTATGCACAAGAAGTCCCCCATAGCTGGCAGCTCGCTCCTGAACTGCTGACTGGTCAGACAGAGTTTTGCTCGTGGAACATTTAAACTGCTAATTCTTCCATAAAATATACCACTACCTTATTTACTCCCTTGTTAAATTGGAGAACTGCAAAAGCAAATACAGTAACTCTGGGAAGTGACAATGTGCAGGCCTTGGGACTTAGCTTATCAGTAGGAGGCTCCCAGACAAATCCATCTCTGAATGATAAAGCCGATCAGTTTCCAGAAACTTCTAAGACCTGCTGTGCTGCATGAAGAGGCACAAAGAGAAAGGGGTCCAGCTCACAGTTCTGATTTAGCCTCTTGGCAAGTGGGCCCTGAGTTGTTCGATCATAAAAAACATACCTTTTTAGTAAGAACATAATGGAGTCTTTTTGTTAATAGCTAAAGTCAGAGCTCTTTCTTTTTAAAACACGTTTTGAAAATAATCATCTTGGAGTAAAACCAAAGAGTTGTGAGGAAGTCCATGTGTCAGATTTTTAGGACACGGGACACAGATTCTTAGGACTGCTCTGGGCATAGTCATGGCATGCGTGGTCAGAGTGGGTCATATTAAACATGCAGATAGCCTCCTTGTGTTGGCAAGACTCTAGCCAATTCCTTCTTGATCTCCCCAAACTCCCAGAAGTCCAGGGCCCATCCCAGCTCCAGAGCTAGCTCCATATCCCCTGTGTCAAACTTGCTAGTGACTTTGGCCAGGCAATCTTTTCCTTCCTTCCTTTCATCTCTCTGGCATTACGTATCAGCTGCATGATTCTCTCTCTGGCTAAGACTTCCCCACACAGGCTGCAAGCTTCAGGAGGGCAGGCGCCAGTTGGCTTGCTTACCTCTGTACCTCTCGTGCGGAGCTCTCGTGTGGCAAACAGTCGGTGCTCCATTGCTGGCTGCTGGATGAATGAGCTGAATGGTAGCAGCTCTGTGTCCCAGCTCTAGATTTTTGGGATATTCTGCTTCCCCAGCCACCCCAATTCCAGTTGCTTTAGATGAGGCTCTTCATTAAGGAGAGGGCGGAATTCAGGGAGAAGCTAGCAAATGGGTAAGCAGCAGTCCTTCCCCGTCTCAAAGGGCGATCGTGAGGATTCCATGTGGTTGTATCTGGCATATTAGTACTGAAAGGACTTTAGAAGATTGTATCTGTTTGTTACTTCTGCACATCTCTCCGACCTTAAATCTCTGCAACAGCCTTACTTACTGTGAGGACAGGATGCTCCAAGAATTTCCTAAGACACCAGGTGCAGAATGGGTGCAGTCGGAGGCCCACTGGGATCTGTTCTCACTGCCCCTCTCAGTAGTAGGATCCAGGCAAATACAGCGGCGTGGACAAGACAAGAGTTTATTTGCCTGCACGTCAGTGGTCCAGAGTTTTTAGGGGAGACCCTACCATTCTCCTTGCATCGACCTCTAGCTCCAAAGTTGCTTTAGTTCTTGTGATCTCCCAGAGCTGACAGAAGGGGGAAAGAGAGACAGGGGAGCCCTCACCTAATCAGGACAACAGAAATCACTTCTGCCTTTATCCCGTTGGCCAGCACTCGGTCACATGACCACATCTTGCTTCAAGGGAGGCTGGGAAATATAGTCCTTAGCTGGGCAACCACGTTCCCCCCCAAAACTCTAGTATTATGAAAGAAAGGGAGAGTGGCTACTGGAGGGCAACTAGGCGGGTTCTGCCACCACTGCATTATGACATCTGGTGAGATCAGGACATCCGTGAGCTAGGCACTGCCCTGCTCGATACATTTCAGGGTTTCCTCATTACCCTCGGGATAAAGCCCACATTCTTTAAAGCCTCCCCTGTGTACAGCTCTCCAGCGGTCCATCATTCTGGAACTCTCTTACCCACCCTAACCTGTCCCCGCTTCATGGAACGACTTTTGGTTTCCCAAGTGTGTCTTGCTTTATCTCAGCCGAGCTGGGCGTGAACATGCCAGCCCTTCTGCCTATCTTTCCCCCCAGAGTCTCCCCCTTATCTTGAGCTTCACAGCCCAGATATTTGCACCCATGTGCTCCCTTAGGCCTGTTCCCCACGTGGTCTCCTGAGCGCCAGACTCTTGTATGTATCTGTCCCCTGGATTGCCTCCACTTGAGGCCCCACAGCACCTTACACTCAGGTCCCACATGAGATCATCATTTCCCTTCTGTCCAAGCCTGCTCTCCTCTTGGATCCCTGAGAATAACCCCACCATCCATCTACCCAGAAGCCCAAGACAGAAGTCTGGGAGTTCTCTTCTCTCCTTGATCCTGCATCCTCTCATCCATGTTGGTTCACCTGCACTTCCAGGTCCTACCCTCATTGCCTTCACCTTGGTTCCAGCCACCGCCACCTGGCACCCAGATTCCTGCAGCAGCCTCCTAATTCTGATTCCAGTCTTGTCCTCCTATCCATTCTTCCTACTGCAGCCAGAGGTTGGTTCCAAAATAATGGTTCAGTCAGGATTCCTCCTTTGTAAAACCCTTCAGTGGTTTCCCATTGACCTGGTTCCTACTCTTCCTCACTGCATCTCTTACTGGCTTGCTCACTGAATTCCTTGCACATCTTTAAAGTGATGCCAAGCTCCCTCTAATAACCTTCTTGCATCATTCTGTGCTTTACCCCAGGGTACTTCCCACGTTTGTCTGGCTGAGCCCTTGGACTTGGCTCAGATGCTACCTCCTTCGAGAAGCCCTCCCTGAGCATCCAGGGGTGGCAGGTCCCCCTCTCATGCAGTCCCACGCGCTCTCTGGACTGTGGGGAGTGGATGGATTTCATGTTTCCTTGGCTGCAGGTCAGGGAGCCAGGCAGCCCATTCTGCGTGAGTCAGCTTGCCCACCTCCCCTGAGCCTTCACCCGTTTCTCAGGATTCATGGCTGCCACACCACGTCCTGACCTTCACTCAGTGATTAAGGTGGCCATGGAGAGGACACTGTGTGCCCAGCACTCTCCTCGGTGTCCCTTTATAACAGAGTCCATCTGACCTCCGTCATCCAGTGCTGCTGGGATGGTGACTGTCCTTCATAGGTGAAGAAACACGCTTCCACACACCTGGGACATGCCGGGTCTGTCTGACCCCACCATGCAGCGCTGCCGATGAGTGCTTCTCTAGCCCCACCCTTCCCCCAGGAACTGGGGCCTCTCACAAAGTCTGGAACCATCTCGTTCCTTGCCTCCTGGAACTCCACAGGCCATTCTCTGTGGCCTTTTGCCAGGGCAAAGGTCCTGTCCAGCTTGTCCTGGGCCAGGACAAGGATGGACAGACTGGCCAGCCCTGGTTGAAGCCCAGGCCGAGGCTACCGGCTCTGTCTCTGTCATCATCCCACGGCTCAGCATGGCTACCGTAGGGTGTCCCCTTCTACCCCAGGACACAGAGCAGTTTCCCTGGAGATTCCAACCTTGCCTTTTTCTGTGAAGCCCATACATTGACCCAGAAGAGCAGGAATGTCTGAAGGGAAGGCTGGTCCTCCTTTTTCCCAGGGAAGAAAGAGGCACTTCATGCTTCGCTCCTGTCCTTATCATTAAGAGGAGGCTTCAACTCTTACTAGTTCACTGGCTCTGTGTCCCTGGACAGGCGCCTCAACCTCTGTGAGCCTCAGTTTGCAGACTTGTAAAGTGAAGTAAATACTGGTGAGGGTTAAAAGGGGCCACTGGCGGAAAGCACCGGAACAGTCCTGACGGTAGGGTAGCTCTCGCCATTATGACTGTTGACTCCGTTCCCTCCGCCCACCTCCTGAGAGCTCTATGCTCCGGGCAGAGGCCTTGGCTCTCTCCTGGGCCTCTCTCTCCCTTCCCTTTTTAAGGGCATTTCTGCTGCTCCAGCTGCTGCGTCAGCTCCAGTTCAGACCTTCTCAGAGTCCTGAGGCCCTGCCAGCAATCACAGCCCCAGCCAACCGGAGTCCTCCACTCACATTCCTGCTCACTGTGGTCAGGGATCTGCCGAGGTCTGTCCGGGTGTGTCTGCGCCTGCCGGGGTGGGGGGGGGGGTGCGGGGAGCGACAACTGCTCTTTTGTCAACCAGTCCCGGCGGGTGAGGCCAGGGCACAGCCTGTCCCGGCCAAGAACAGGAAACAGGTGGACTTTGCAGAGGCCCAGGTGGGGGTGGGATGTGAGGAGGCCCATGTCTGGGCATGAGAGGGTGCGGGGCGGAACAAGAAGGACTCACTTGTGTGTTCCCAGGCCCGGGAGTCTAGAGGCCCTCAGCTGGCTTTCAGGTTGCTTTGGGACAAGGCAAGCAACTGACTCATGCAGCCGTGTACTGAAGATTGCTTAGTCACCGTCCACCTCTGTCTTAGGGTACAGGGTAAGTTGCTATAACAAAAAGACCCCCAAAGACGAACGGATCGATGAGGCAGGACTTTCACTCTGTCTCACGGAGCAGCCAGGCCGCTTCCCCTGGACAGGGTGGCTCTGCCTCATGCAGTCATTCCTGAATGTAGTTTTTTTTTTCCTGGCTCGTGGTTCTGCCATCCCCAAAGACTGATATTCTAAACCTGGGCTCTAAACAGGGTTGGCCAGAATTCACTGGCTCTCTGAACTTGCATGGGAAAACATCACACCTTGATATCCACCAGGGTCTACCTAGAAGTTGGCATTTCCTTCCATTACGACAGCAGGCCACAAACATAGGAGTATTGGCAATACCTGTGACCTCATCTCTGACAGAAATCACAGAGATTTTCATATCCCATTTAGTTGTTGCAGATATTGTGAAATACCACTTATCCTCATTAGCACTACTTTGAAAACAGGGTAGTTATTAATATGAGCTAGGCGATTGTAATCTTTAATATTTCTGTAATATTTCAATATAGTTGTTTTCCTTTGTCATCTTACGATTTTTATTCCGTGAATTTGAGAACATTATTCTGACAAGTATCCATTGGCTCCTCCAGACAGCCCAAGGTGTCCAAGGCCCAAAATCCAAGCAGCCCTGCCTCACGTGTTTCTCCCTCCACTGCTTGAAACTGGGCCCCTGCATGTCAGCATTCCAGAAAGGGAGAAGGGTACAGGTGTGGGGCGAGCAAATTCCTTCTATGCAAGTGATATGGAACTTGCACACTTCACTTCTGTCACCCTCCACCACCAGAACTCAGTCACATGGCTACGCCTAGCTGCAAGGGAGGCTGAGAAATATGCCTTGTCCCTGGGCAGGAGTGTGCACAGTAGGACTCTGTAGTTACAGAAGAAGGGGAAAATGGAATGGGGGCCAACCAGGGGTCTTCCACAATCTCCAGTGATTCTGCTGCCCTCCCAGGACCCAGACCCTCTGAAGCCATCCCCTTCTCACCGTGCCTGCTGCCTGCCTCATGGCCACACCTCACACTCAGCCCTCTTCAGTTACTTCCTACACTCCAACTCCTAGTCCTCCCTCACTTGGTACGAGGGTCAACGGTCCCATCCGTCTTTGTTGCCAGTCTGGGTGCTCCGCTCCGAGGCTCATGCTCACCTGTTGGAGTCTGTCCCTCCTGCACTCTCTGTTCCTCTCCCGTGTCATCTCTTCCCTACTGCATTGTTCCCAGTGACAGGGAAACACACCCTTATTTCCCCATCCTCAGGAAACATCTCTTGACCCCACTTCCCCCACCAGCTTTTGTCCCTTTCTTTGTTCGCCTTCATAGCAAAACTCCTCAGGACAGTGGTCTGTACTTGCTCTCCACACTTCCTCTCTCTGCTTTTCTCTCAGACCACCCCAGTCAGCCTTCCTTCCCCACCACTCTGTGGAAACTTCTACTGACTGGGTCACCAAAATCTTCATGTCATTAATCTGGTGATCATTCCTCTCATCTACCAGACTCAGCAGCAGCACTGGGCCCAGATGATCACTCCCTCCTACTAGAAACACTGTCTTTCCTTGGCTTCTGTGACACTACGCTCTCTGGTTTTCTCTCTGATCTTGGGGTGGCTCCTTCTCCCTGACCTAGCACTGGCAAGCCCCAGAGATCAGACCATGGCCATCTTCTCTGTCTACAGTCCCTTGGTGATCTCATTCAGTCTCATGGCCTTGAATACCAACCATATGTGGATGACTCCCAGTTTTATTTCTTCTCCTGGACATCTCCCCCGATGACAGTCTTGTGCACACAGTTGCCCTCTTGACTTCAAGAAATATCTCAACAGGTGCCTGGGTGGCTCAGTTGGTTAAGCGACTGCCTTCGGCTCAGGTCATGATCCTGGAGTCCCTGGCTCGAGTCCCACGTCGGGCTCCCTGCTCGGCAGGGAGTCTGCTTCTCCCTCTGATCCTCCCCCCCTCTCATGTGCTCTCTCTCTCTCTCTCTCAAATAAATAAATAAAATCTTTAAAAAAAAAAAAAAAAGAAAGAAATATCTCAAGCTTCACATGTCCAAACCTCAAATCGTAATCTTATCCCCAAATGCCTCTTCTCCCCTAGACTTCCCCATCTTTCCAGTGACTCAGGCCAGAGATCTCAGAGTCATCTTTATTCTATCCTTTCCCTCACATCCTACTTCCTGATGGCTTTGTCTTCAAAATACCTGGAAACAGGCCACCTCTTCTCACCCCTCCACAGCCACCAACCCAATCCTCATTGCAACCATCTCCCACCTGAATTCTTGAAATAATCTCTAACTGGTCTCCCTGGTTCAAGTCTGGCTTCCTACAGTTTAATCTCAAGGTGGCAGATGGAGGGATCCTTCTAAGGTAAAAGTCAGGCTCCCATCTCTCTCTGAGTAGAACCCAAATTCTTCATGATTGCCCACAGTACCTCTCTCATCTGGCCCCTGTCCCTTTCCTGATCCTTCTCACACATTTTCCCCTCACTCACAATAGGCCTTGTTACTATTCCTCTCACTCATCAGGCATGCTCCTACCTCGGGGCCTTTGCACTGGCAGTTCCTTCTGCTGGGAAGGCCCTTCCCCAGATAGCCACATGACTCACTCACTGCCTCTTCTTCAGGGCTTTCTCATATGTCACTTTTTGCATGAGATCCTCCTACACACCCCACTTCCCCTAGCAAACCTGATCTCCTTTCCTGCCTTATTTTTCTCCATAGCACTTATCAGCATCTGTCAGGCTATGATATTATTTATTTTGCTATAGTCTATTTCCCCTCAGTAGCATGCAGACTTCTTGGAAGCAGGGATATTTATTTAGAATGGTACCTAATAAACAGTTGTCGAAGGTAGAAATTGATTATCTTCTTCTACAGCCCTGTTAGACCCTATAGGAAGGTTCCTTTCTCCCCTCCCTACCCCCGCCATGCTCCCTAAAAACTCTATCCAAAACATTAAGGTAGGACTGGGAACCCATGAGCATGAAACAGTTTAGTTGGTGGAGACCAAGGGCACAAAACAGACAAGGTGGAGTGTGTGTATTTATTCAACATGCCTTTATTGAGTGCCTTCTATGGCCATCCCCCCCGCAGCCCCTCACCCCCCCACATATGCTGACATTATGGTGGAGAGGAGACAGCTGGGCAACTGGTGTTTACAGCGCCCTATCTTCACAGGGTGAGCCCTGTAATGGAGGGATGAGCCTGATGACAGTCTCTACCCATCAGGGACAGCCGGGAATGCCAATGTAATACAATGGCCGAGGGCACAATCTTAGGCAAATGACTTCTCTCCGAGTCTCGCTGTCTATGTCTGGATGTGGAGATACTTATGGGAACAATACTTACCACTTCGCTTGACTACTATGGGGTTTACAGGAGACCAGAGATGGGTTTACCATGAATCTGACAAAGCTTAAGCATCAAGGCCCTCACTTGCCCAGACTCTTTCCAAGGCCCTACCTATGTGTTCACAAGTTTTTTGTTTTATAAACTTTATAAAACCTTTTTGTTTTATAAACTTTATAAAATCAGGTAGTTTTTCATTCTTTTTTAAAAGAAAGCCTCCTAAACTGTTTAAGTGTCAGGCCCCACAAAACCTGAATCTGTCTCTGCAGGAGACCTATGCAGAGTGCTCAGCATAGATCCTAGCTTAAGGTCGTCACTTAATAATGTAAAAATAATGGGCATGAAATAAATAAATGTATTTATAAAGAGGCATGAAAAGGGGCGCCTTGGTGGCTCAGTCGGTTAAGTGGCCAACTCTTGATTTTAGCTCAGGGCATGATCTCAGGGTTGTGAGATCGAGCCCCACATCAGACTCTGTGCTCAGTGGTGAGTCTGTTCGAGGTTCTCTCTCTCCTTCTCCCTCTGCCCCTCTCCCTGCTCAGTTGGGCTGTCCCTCTCTAAAATAAATAAATAAATCTTAAAAAAAAAAATTGAGCATGAAGAAAGGACCTCACAGAGGAGGGGTCATTTGAACTGGTCTTTACGGACACGCAGAGGTTTAGCAGGTTCCAAACAGGGAAGCGGGAACCCAGGTGACTGCAGGTGTTGTGCAGGGCTATCTCCATGGGCCCGTAGACTGTAGGGGGTGCTTCCGCTCGGATAATAAGAGCCACCATTTTTGGCACTTGGCACGTACCGCTGTGGTGTACTAAGACATCTATTTGCTCTCTGTCCTCGGTACCTAGTACAGAGTTCCTAAAACTCTTCTGCTGTCCCAAGTGATGGGAGTGCTAGAGGCATCTTTTGTTGTAATATTTGGTCTTTGACTCCGGTTCCCGACACGAAGCTCCTAAATCTCTTGTCGTTTCCTGAGTGACAGGGGTTATAGGAGCGTTTGACCCCGAGCTCCGAATCCTTTGGGATTTTCCGGGTTACGGGAATGTCTTTTGCTCTCATGAGGCAACTCTCAGTGGGCTCGTGGGTGGGGGCTGGTCACCAGCAAGACCAAGCATGAATAAAGCTGGGAACTTTCAGTCCCACCCTCCATCCTCTGGGGAGTGGACAGGGGCTGGAGATGGAATGCATAATGATCAAGCCTACGTGATGAAGCCTCCATAAAAATCCCTATAGTACAAGGTTTGGAGAACATCTGGGCGGGTGAACACATGGGGTGCTGGCAAGGTGGTACATCCTGAGAAGGTCTGGAAGCTCCATGCCCCTTCTCTCATACCTCGCCCTATGCACCTCTTCATCGGGCTGTTCATCTGGATCCTTTATTACATAATAAACTGGTAAATGTAAATAAAGAGGTATTTCCCTGAGTTCTGTGCACCAATATAACAGATCATCCAACCCGAGGATGGGTTGTGGGAACCCCCGTTTCTAGGCAGTTGGTCAGAGTCCGGGTGACAACCTGGGACGTATGACTGGCTTCAGAGGTGGGGGTCAATCTTGTGGGACTGCGGCCTCAGCACTAACTCTGAGCAGTTAGGGAATAGGATTAGAGGACACCTAGTTGGTGTCCAAACAGTTGGAAAATCTCCACACGTTTGATGTCAGAAGT